GGAGACATCTCCCAGAAGCAGGGGGAGCAGCTCAGAGCCAAGGCCAGGCCCTTCTAACGCAGCCCAGGGAGTCTTTGAGAAGTTAGGGAGCCCAGGTCCTACAGCCGGCATGAAAGCTTGGCTGTATGATCCCCGCAAAAAGGAGACAAAGCCGAAGGTCTCCCAGGACAGCCAGGCACTGCCATGGGCAACGGTGTGTCACTGGTCGATGCCTTCAGCCTCTCAGTCGCAGAGCGTGAGCGATTCTGGGGGGGACACCCCTCAGAGCCACAGCTCAGAAGTCCGCCTCTTGCCGGCAGAACAGAGAAAGAAGATTTTTCGGTTTCAGGGAGGCGGGCTACCCGAGTCAGGGACCTCCTCGTGCTCCTCAGGCAGGACCAAAGGACCTTTTCGAACTGTAGCCATGAGACTAGGCACAGCCCTCATGAACAAGATGCCCTGGTCCCCGAGGCAAGCCAGCTCGGCAACCTCTGTTTCCAACCACGACCAACACCGAGAGGATCCTGACTTCCCGAGCGGGGCTGGGCTCCCTGGGAGATCCTGGGACAGAGAAGAGGGCGAAGGGTCTGACCACCAAGGATTCACCAGGGGCCATGCTTCCCTGAACTTGGAAAGGGACTCTTCACCCCCAGATCAATCCTCCTGTGATGATGGCATGGGGGAATCATCAGCACAGAGCCTTCCGAGTGAACAAGGACCTACCAGACCCAGCTGGGTGAAGCGACTCAGAGGTCTTCTAACCCGGCTCAACTTCAACAAATAGGCCCTAGATTCAGATCTCATGCCAGAGAACACCTGGTGTTCCCTGCTCTTGACAAAGCCTCTAGTAAAAGATGCTTTTTCAGGCTTTTCTGACTTGTGGGTTTTTCCTCCATTGATCTTTTGGGGTTCATAGACTCAGAACCAGAAGGGTCCTCAGAGGTCCTCTGGGCTAAGGCACTCATTTTACAGACAGGTAAACTGAGACCCACTCCTCTTCCCTGAGAAGTCAAGCAACAGACTCGACGTCACAAAAAGGGTACAGAACTAGGCTTCGAATCCAGGTCTCCCAATTCCAAACCCAGTACTGCTTCTCTGCTGAGACCCTTTGTCGTAGAGAACTCTGTACTTAGCTGCAGGAGTGGTAGGTTAGGGGAGATGATTGAAAAGCTGGTGTTTGGAGGAGGGTGGGAGCCAGAGCTAGAAGAAGAAAGTGAGTAAGGGGCTGTGGGAGGTGGGGGGCTGAACTGTCTGAAGATACCAGGTAAAAGAGGCCATGCGTGGGTAGAGGGAGAGAGACATCAGCTCAATGCCAGGGATGCTTTAGAATCAGCACCGTCCATTAGGGGATGGGGAGTACCTCGGACTCGTGGCCCCGGCATTCCTGCAAAGGCCTCCTTCTGGCCCTCTGAATTATTCTCAAACCACAACAGTAAAAGGGGGCACGCAGATTTACGAATGTCTCACAGAATCGAGTGGCACCTGGTCTGAGGCTCCCTGAGACATGGAAAAGCTCCTTGCTCCAAATTTACAGGATGCCATCAGTCATTAGCACAGGAGTTTTTTTTTTCTTTTTAAGACAGTTGGGGTTAAGTGACTTGCCCAAGGTCACACAGCTAGTAAGCGTCAAGTGTTTGGTCTGAGGCCGGATTTGAACTCAGGTCCTCCTGACTTCAGGGCCGGTGCTCTATCCACTGCGCCACCTAGCTGCCTCATCTCGGAGTTCTTAACCTGGGGACCATGAACTTGTTTTTTAAAATACTTGATAATTATTTTCATGGGATGGTTTCCTTTCTAATCTGATGTAAAATGTTATTTTATTAAATTAAAAGTATGCATCTGAGGGATTCATGCCTCAAAAAAAAAAAAAAAGGTTAAGAGGCCTCTAGGTGGTGCTGCAGATAGAGCCCCGGGGGCTGGAGTCATTAAGACCTCAGTTCAAATTCCGCCTCTGATACTTACCAGCTGTATGGCCCTGGACAAGTCACTTCACCTCTGCTTGCCTCAGTTTCCTCAAACAGAGGTGACAGTAATAGCACCTACCTCCCCGGGTTGTTGAGATAATGGATGTAAAGCACTTGACAAACCTTAAAGGGCTAGATAAGTGCTAGCTGGTTCGAGAAACGAACGTGCCGACTTGGAACCAGAAGAGCTTGGGTTCAACCTTTGGCTCTGACACTCAATGGCTGTTTCACAGGAGGCAAGTCTCTTCTCATCTGTCAAATGGGGCTCTTCATGCTGATGCTCCCCAGAGTGATTGTGAGGAGGAAGTTGTAAAAGTCCCCATTTCTCTAACACTCCAAAGTGAATGCAACACTTTCTCCACGACAAACTGTTAGTGGTGGTGATTTGCCATATAGGTAATGGAGAGGGAGATGGCCTCCCAAGTCAGGAAGTCCTGGGTTCAAGTTCTGAGCAGATATTTAATGTCCCCGTGCCCGGGGCAGCTGGGCAGAAAGGACGGAGGAAGTACATCTTCTGCATTGGCTTGGGACGTTCTAGTCCATCTGGGACACTGACCTTAGAGTCAAATCTGGCCTCTGACACTTACTGGCTGTGTGACCCTGAGCAAGGCATGTAACCCTATTTGCCTCCATTTTCTCATCTGTAAAATGGGCTGGAGATGGAAATAGCAAACCACTCCCGTATTTCTGCCAAGAAAACCCCAAACGGGTCCCCACTGGGAGAGTTGGGCACGCCTGAACAACAATATAATCTTTTGTCTTTTTAAGCCCTTCACAACCTGACCTGACCCCTTCCTACCTTAGTCTTAGACTTTTCTCCCCTCCACACTCTCTATGTTCCAACAAAACTGTCTTTTTGGCTGCTGCTAGCACACGTGTGCTCCATCTCCTGACTCTGGGTCTTTTCTCTGGCTGCCCGCCAGAATCTGTTCCAATACCATTTTCTGCACGAGGCTTTCCCTGGCCTTTCCCACTCCCACTCCCATTGTTAGTGGGCTCCCTCCGAGATTAACTTCCATTGACACTGTAGATGTACCTAGGTTTTTGTTTTCTTTTTTGTTTTTTTTTCTTCTTTTGCCTGTTGTCTCGCCCATTAGAATTTGAACAGGGACTTTTTTCTTTGGTCTCTCTTTGTATCCCCAGCACTTAGCACAGTGCCGGGCACAGAGTAAGCATTTAAATTGAACAAATGCTTGTTGGCTGACTGACATAATTCCTGCGACCTTCCAGACTACAACACTAACCCCTGGGCCCTGGCCATTAGAATACCTCAGTATCAAATGAAGTATTATGTGACACAGTGTCTTTCATTGAATAGAAATAAAGGTGTAAGAGCAAAAAAAAAAAATAAACGGAATGTAAGCTGCATGAGGGCAGGGGCTCCTTTTGTTTTGTACAGACACCTTTAACACTAAATACATGCTTTCCATTCACTCATTTTGTGGATACTGTTGAAGAGCTGCGCCACAACTTCTGGCTTATGTGTCTCCTCTTTTGTTCACTCATATGACGTCCTGGAGTTAAGGTCGTCATCTCCGAAAGCTTGGATTATTTTAATAGCTGCTGCTGGGTCCGCCTGACACAAGTCTCTCCCCACTCCAAGCTATCCTCCATTTAGCCACTAAAGTCCGACCACGTCAAAGCCCACTCCCACCCCTTCTCCCACTGAATATACTCCAGGGGCTTCTCATCACGTCCATGACCAAATACAAAATCCTCTGCTTGGCCTCCAAAGCCCTTCATACCCAGCTCCCTCTCTTACATCCTGATCCCCAGTAACGCTGGCCTCCTGACTGGTCTTCAGGCAAGACCCTCCATCATCGCTCTGTGCATTTTTTCTGGCTGCTGCCCCCCACCCCCATCTCTGGAACACTCTCCTCCTCTGGCTTTTTTCAAGTCCCAGCTGAAATCCCCGCTCCCATAAGAAGCCCTTCCCTATCCACACTGTGTGGGGTGTTTGTGACCCCCTTGTAATAATCAGAGACTTTTTCTTAAGAAAGGCAAAAAGGAGTCTCGTTGCTTTCTCATGAGAAAGCACACAGCCAGCGTTGCTCAAGATAGCGCCAGCCAGGCAGTGCCAGGGAGTGCAGCTCAAAGCCAGTTTATGTAGACCCTAACGGGAACCCCCACTCACCCACTAGCTCCACGTTGTCCCATTGGCTGGCTTCAGAGCTCACAGTCTAAGCCTGGAAACTTTTCCCCAGCAACAAGGTTGCAAAAAGGCGCAAAACAAGGAACTGTTGGTTCAGCAGGAAAGTAAGATAAAAGGGGAGGGGGGGCCGGAAAGCCTGGACAAACGATGCTTTCGGGGACATGGCCTGATGTTCTCCCTTATCTCGAGTAACATCCTGTTTCTTTTTAGCAAGGCAGTTTCTGGGAACTCTAGGAGGAGCATTGTCTCAGCAAGGCCAAGTCTTATCCTTCTCTGAGGGGGCTTCACTATTTCAGCAGCCCACTCACCATCACTGCCAATGCCTTTGCTCTGTTGGTACCTCCCGCACCCTGTCTGCACCTTGTTGGTTCAGCGATGTCTGTATGTGCCCCCCCCATTAGACTGTGAGCTCCCCGAGGGAAGGGACTGTCTTCTGCCTCTTTTTGCACCCGCAGCACCGAGCACATAGTAGGGATCTAATTAATGTTTGTTAATTGACGGAAAACCTAGTTCTCAGCACTAAAGCGCTTGGCGTTGCCAGAGGGCTCAAAATCAGAAAGGGATCCGATTTTATTGGCTGAAACATTAGAGGCAGCACCAGCTGCTTTGTATCCCCTGGGCTTAGCACAGCGAGTGCTTAATACGCTTGTGGATTGACTGTGCGCAGGTTGAACCAGTTGGCCTTTAAAGTTCCTTCCAAGGCTGTGACTCTGATCATAGGCAACACCGCGGTCGCTTAAGAAACCTTTGCGGACAGACTAGCGGCATCGGCACGTGGCTCGCCGGGCCAGCCTTCACGTGACCACGCGGCTCCGGCCCGCGCAGGCGCACTTAGTAGAGCCTCGTCTTGGCCCGCTCCCGGCTGCGTGCGCGTGCGCAGAGCCCGTTCGCCTGGTGCTTGAGGAGGTGCTGCTGCCAGGACTCGGAGTGAGGAGAGGATGGAGGCGAGGCCCGAGCTCAGAGGGGACGAGGAGGCAGTGGGAGCGGCGCTGCTGCTGTACGAGCGGGCCCATTTTCGGCATGACCCGCGCTGGTTGCTGCCCCTGCCGCCACGCCTCTGCCTGGCCTGCGCCTTGGAGCTGCTGCAGCCCACCAGCGGCGTCTCGGTGCGGCTCTCTACTGCGCCTGCGCTTTCTGAGCCTCCCCGAAGCCTCTCCCCCCCCGTCTTTCACTGCGCCTGCGCCCCCCTCCCCCACCGCTCCCCCACCGCTCCCCCACCGCTCCGCATCCTGGCTTTTGGCTTCGAGAGCTTCCTGACCCACTGCGCCTGCGCCTTAGCCTAAAGCCCCTCCCTCTCTTCCCTAAACCTGCTTCTTTAATGCTCAAAGGCGTAGATATATATACGCACACACAGAGTTATATCTTTTGGGCCTCATCAACCTCTGAGCAAAAGAACATAGGTATTATTGGTATTATTCCCACTTTACAGATGGGGAAACTGAGGCTCACAGGTTGACTCGCTCAGGGACACAGATAGTGACTGAGGTAGAATTTGAACCCAGATCTTCCTATTTCCATCCCACATATGCCTCCTCGCTGAACCTGGAGCCCCCTTGGAGAAGCCCCCTGGCATCCCTCCCCTTTACTAAGGCTCCTGCCCCCTTTCTTTTCTGACTAAGCAGGGCCTCTTGTCACTTCTCTGTGTAGCACTCCTCTAGAATCTCACTAAACCCATGTAGCACTTTTCAGAAGCAATCCCACAGTACTAATCTCTGGGAACACTGTCCCCCAATCCAGTTAAGCCCCTTTTCCTGCCTTGGAAAAGCATCTTTAGCCTCATTCCAAGTACCCCCAGCCCAGCCCCATCCTAATACCCAGTCTTCTCAGGCTCAGCTCTCCCTGAAGTTCCTACTCTTCTCTTTTGGTAGACATTCATTCATTCAACTAGCACCTGTTATGCGCCAGACACTGTCCTAGGCACCCAGGATCCAAAAGCAAACACTCCTTGCCGTCAGTATGCTGTTCTTCTGTGTGTTGTGTACTGGGGGAGATAGAGATTCCCTACCCAATACTTGTCTTAGCAACCAGTTCACCTGAACACTAAACCTTCTGTCCTGGGTTTTTTCCCTCGACTCAGCCCCTGAGCATCCATTCCCTAGGCCATCCAAGCCCCTCTTCAGTGTCTACCCTTCTGTCAGTCCCCAGCACCCACCTCTCAGGGTCTGCTTTCATTCAGACCCTGATGTCACTTCAATACTCAGTCAATCCTTTGGCCTCTTTTCCCTTTCTGAGTCCCCTCATCCCCAACAAAGTCTGGTCTCATAGTTATTTGCATCATAGAGATGAAATAGGTGGGTGAATGACTGTAAGGGGAAGAGAATTGATGAGAAGACCAGAGAAAAAAGGAATCCTAGCCCCCAGAGTAGCTTTGAGCTTCTATGATTTAATGCCCACATGACTTTTCCCATTATTTGATGGGATGGGTTCAGCAGCCAATGGATTCCTATTTTGGTTGACTGTTGTTCAGTCCTGTCTGATTTTTCATGACCCCGTTTGGAATCTTCTTGGCAAAGATACTGGAGTGGTTTGCCATTTCCTTCTCCAGCCCATTTTACAGATGAGGAAACTGAGGCAGGGTTAAGTGACTTGTCTAGGGTCAAACAACTGGTAAGTGTCTGAGAACAGATTTGAGCTCAGACCTTCCTGACTCTAAGCTTGGTTGCCCTGGTACATGTTGACTGCCTGTGAACTTATGAAGTCATCTGGGTTTTTTTCTCTTTCCAGGAGGCTTTTACACTTTTCACCACAAGGTGTTACTGCTGCTCCACTCATTCATTTAGTCATTTGTCAATATTTGCTTCCGAATCGTGTTTATTTTTCTTGGAGGCTTCCATTGGCTTGTGGGATTTAGAGTCAGAAAAGATGGCAGAGAAAAACTAGCCCAGGGATGCTTGACCTGGGGTCCATGGATAGATTTCAATGAACGTGGATGGAAAAAAAGTTCCGTCTTTATGTTCACTAATGGTTGGTTTCCTCTGTAATCTTATGTATCCTATGCATTTAAAAACGTGATTCTGAGTAGGGGTCCCTAAGCTTAACCAGACTAACTGCCGGAGGGGTCCGGGTCACACAGAAGGAGAAGAATCCCTAATCTGCTCTAGTCCTGTCACAAACCCAGGGGGATGGCCTGACTTCCCCAGGTTCGCACGGGTGGCAGAACCAGCGATTCTAGACCCAGGTCTTCTGATGCGAGACCTCGTCTACTTGTACCATCTCCTTGTTACACTAGTTGTATGGAATATGCCCAGTGTAAACTGGGGAACCCTTTAAAATGGTGACCCTGATCTCTTGAGTTGGAGTAAGATGGTTTCTTGTATGTAACCCCAACATCCCTGTGAAGCAGACCTTAAATCAACAACAAACATCTATTAAGCAACTGTGCTAAGTTCTGGACCTGATCTGATCCCAGGGACATTTATTTTTTTTTAATGAATTAATTTATTTTTAGTTTTCAGCATTCACTTCCATAAGATTTTGAGTTCCAGATTTTCTCCCCATCTTGTCCCTCCCCCCACCCCAAGACAGTGTGCATTCTGAATACCCCTAATCTGCCCTCCCTTCTCTCTCCCGCCCCTTCTCTTATCCCCTTGCCCTTCAATTTTCCTGTAGGGCAGGATAGATTTCTATACCCCATTTCCAGGGACATTTATTAAGCACCTAATATTTGTAAGGCAAATGTTCACGGAAAGAAATGAGAGGCAGTGGGATGAAGCAGACAGAAGGCTGCCTTGGAGTCGGGAAGCCCTGGGTTCGAACCCTGCCTCTGAGTCCCTAGGCCTTTTCTCCTCCTCTACAGCTCTCTGAGATGCCTCAGGGCCTTTGCATCAGTGGAGGGAATTTCTGCCTCAGGAGTTCCCAGTCCCAGACCCATTGTCCTTGTTCCCATGTGCAAAGGCCTGCCCTGCATTAAATGTTGGTCACAAGGCTGCCCACCCCATGCCATCTCATGATGTGAGGAGATGAGGAGAGCTGTTTCAAATGTGACTCTCACTTACTTTGCCATGGAACGCTGTTTTCTTTTTCCCCCTCAAGCTGGTGAGAAAGAAGCACATGTTGTCCTGCTTCCATGATGCCCTCATGAGGCATACCACGTTGGTCACACAGCTCTTGGCTCAGAACGAGGCAGTCTGCACCCACCTCATAGGCATCCTGTTTGGTGAGCAAGAGCGGTTGTCCCGAGGGGGCCTTCAGAAGCATCTGACCCAGCGGGCTTCTTGGGGAGGTGTGCCTGGAGATCACAGGGAGAGCTCATGTCCAAGCCCACAGACAACTACTGGATTTGGTGGAAGGAGTCAGGGGAGGTGCCTAGAACAGGGAGAGGGCCCAGAGAAGTCTATGTCAAGAAATGTCTGCCTCCATGTCACGTTTCTGCCATGTGATGACCCCCTCCCCAGGGGACCTCAAGTTAGGGAGCGTCAACATGGACGTGAAAAAGGCTGACTTTGTGACTAGCAGGTAGCGAATTCCATCCCACCCAGCAGAAGTAATATTAAGTGTCTACTCCCGAGTGGCGATTCAGTTATGCAAGCACCTGTGATGCACCCACTGTGTATAAGGCATTCCCCTAGGTGCAGGAGCTTCTCCTGCTGGGTGCCACGTGCACAGCTGGAGGTAAAACTGAAGTAATCTGAGGAGGAGAGATCGATAACAATTAGAAAGACCAGGGCAGGTTTCCTTGAGGAGCCAGGACTGGACTGAGCCTTAAAGGGAGAGGCAGAGATGAGGAGGGAGGAGGACATGCCAGTCACAGGCATGGCTTGTATCAGTGCCCAGGGGCAGGAGGCGGGGTCCAGAAACGGGGGTGAAAGGGACTAATGTGATGAGGCTGGAGCGATCTGGCGGTGGGGGTCGGAGGGGGGCAGCTTTATGTCCCGGACTGAGGAATTGGTACTTCATCCAAGGGGCAGTATGGTCGGGCCTGCACCTTACGAAGAGTATTTTGTGAAAGATGGATTGGGGAGGGGAAAGACTGGAAGCAGGGAGAACAATCAGCCTCAGCAAGAAGGCAGTGAGAGGAAGGCAGATGCGAGCAGCCTTGTGGGGGCAGGATTGTTCTTAGTTTGGAAAACGTTTTATTTATATGTTTTGTTTTTCGTTGCCTTTGTTTCTGACTCTCTCCTTCCCCTCCTGTGGCTATGGAATTAATTAGAACTTCTTCTCCTAAATCTTTCCTTTTCTCACTGCTATCTTCTGTCTCTCGCCGAGGCCTGGCCGACCTTTCTGGTCCCGGCCTCATCCTCTTCTCTTTCTCTTCAGTTCACTGGCTGGGGTGGGGGAGCCAGGGTGCTCCTGGGTCCCTAACCCTAAATGCACCGCTTCCAGACTCGCAGAAGTTGCCGTTACTCAGCAACTTCTCTGGGGTTCGCCCTGTTCAAAATTACTCCCCAATCTGAAGCCTAGTGACATCATCTGCAGACCTCCGGGACGTTCGTTCTTCTCCTCCATGAAGTTGGTGCCTGCCTCATGGTTTTCTGTTCCTACCCTTCAGCTATGGACTTCAGCATACATTTGGACATTCCCTTAAATACGTTCACTTCCCCATTCCCCCATCTATTTAGCTCCTATGACCTACTCCTTCTTTCTACTTCTATAACACACAAGGTTGCTCATACCCTAGATTGTGCCATCATCCCCAATATTCTGCTTCCATTTGCATGAACTCTGAAATTCCTTTATTATAATTTTTTTATCATCTGTCTCTCCCTATGCCTCATGACCCCAAACCCTGTTCCTCATCCTCATGACCTCCCCAGTACTTTCCCAGGTAGTTGTCCTTCTCTGGCTACACTCTCCTCTTTGCCAGTCTCAACCCATTGGTGAACCAGTTCAACTCCACACTATCTTCTGACCTTTAATCCCTTGTCCCCTTTCCTTTGTTTTGTTTTGTTTTTTTCCCTTTTATAACACATATGCATAGTCAGGCAAAACATATCCTCAATTGTTCGTGTCCAAAAATGCACATCTTACTCTGCATCTCTAATCTATTGCTTCTTTGTCAGGAGGTGGGTGACGTAGACCACGGTCCTCAGGAATTGTGGCTGGTCAGTGAATTGATCAGAGCTCTTAAGTCTTTCAGAGTGGTTTGTCTTTACAGCGTTGTCATTGCGTAAGCTGTTCTAGCTCTGCTCAGTTTGCTCTGCGATAGTTCATACAACTCTCACCAGGCTTCTCTGACCCATCCTTTTCATCATTCCTTAAGCTTGCCCCTGTATCAGAGGTCCTGCTTTGCCAAAACTAATCCCTGGATCCTTCCTGTCATCTGCCTCCTTCCCTCACGTACAGCAGAGTAGAGCTGGAGGAAGTCATGAAACCTATAAATCGATGTTAGCTGATCCCACCTGGGCTCCGCGTGCAGCAAGAAAATCTCATTCCTCCCTAACTGAGTCTCTGTTTCACAGTGGCAGTTCCAAACTTCCTCTTCTCTCCTCAGTCTTCTTATAGCCCGTTTACTGCCAACTTGTCAGCTCAGGACCTCACCTTATACTTCACCAAAAAGATTAAGGCCACTTGCTGAGAATGTCTCCTTTTGTTTTCATCTCACATCTCTCTGTCGTCTTCTCCCACAACATCCTCTGGTCTTTAATAAAATGCTAACTCTCCTTCTTGTGAAGGCCGGCCTCTCTACAAGTACTCTTGAACCCATCTCTACCAACAGATTGCCCCACTATCACCCCAACTCTTTAATATTCAATTTTCCCTGTGTACTTACTGGTTACTCCCTGTTGCCTACAGACATGCCCCTGTCTCCCCCATTCCTGAAAACACGAGACCCCACCCTCTCCACTAACTGCCATCCTCCCTCTCTCTCCTTTTCTCCCCCATCAGCTAAACTTGAAAAGGCTGTTTAATTTGGCTTCTGACTTTACCCTTCAGTGATCTGCTCTCTCCTAATTTACCGATTTCTTAATTGCCAAATCTCATCCTTGGTGACTTCTTGGTGCCATTTAGCATTGTTAATGCCCCTTTCCTCCCAGGTCCATTTTATATTCCTTTTTTTTTTTTCTTTGCCCCCATGCCTCAACAGTCTTAGACCTGGAACTTCCCTCAAAGTCTGGGCTTTGTCACCTTGGCTATAGCCTTCTCACCATAGGACGTCCCTCTGCCAGGTCAGCCCCCGGCTCTTACAGGCAAGTTTGTCCCAGAGGCCTTCCCTTTGGGAGAGGGTCCCCTCCTAGCTCTGCTTCTGACTTTGCCAACTTTGATGCCAGTCCAGTGTGGTCCCTTCCTCCCCCTTCAGCATCCTTTTGTGTGTTGGCTATTAGCCCCTTGAGGACAGGGGCTGTCGTCCTTTCTGCTGATATTTCTGGCCCAGTGCTGAGCGCACTGCCTGGCCCATTCTATAAATGTTTTTTTGCCTCCTTTCTTTTCTCCTGAACGTTCTCTTTTCTGCTTTTTTGTGCCTCTGCTTACTCTTGGCTCTCCTCCCACTTGCCTGCCTGCTCCTTCTTCATTTCCTTGACTGGATCTTCATCTCGGTCCTGCCCCCTAACCTTGGAGTCCCCAGGGGTTTCTCTTGGGACCTCTTCCTTTCTCCCTCTGCTCTCTCTCCCATGAGAGCTGTATCATCTGCTGCTGTGGATTCATTTGTCATCTCCATGCAGAGGGAGGACTGCCAGGGCCCGATATTTCCAGCCCTAACCTCTCTCCTGAGCTCTGGGCCTGCAGTACCAGTGGCTTCTTGACATCCAACTCAACATATCCAAAAGAGAAGCCATTATCTTTCCTTCCCGACTTCCCTGTCATCTTGGCAGGCACCGTTATCTTTCCAGTTGTCAGCCTCTTCAGTGTCATCTCCTCACTCTCCCGGACCCTGTGCATCGCTAAGTTGCTAGAACTCCTTGTTTCCATGTTCATCTCCCTTGTGCACATCCCCTTCTCGCCATTTACCTGACCCTAGGTCAGGCCTGCACCACCTCTTGCCTGAGCTGTCTCGGTAGCTTCTGGGGCTCATCTTCCTTCCTCAAGTCTCTCCCCGCCCAGTTCCTCTGCTCTGTTGCTGAAGTGATTTTTATAAAGCACAGAGCTAACCTCGTCACATCCCTCTGCTCAGTAAATTCTAGCAACTCTCTCTAAGGACTGGATCTGGAATCTTATTGATGTAGAGAACTCCCTGGTAAGGAAACTCCCTCCACTGATGCAGGCTGGCACCTCCACTTCGCCTTACCGGCTTAGTGGTACCTAGAGCCCTGGGAAGTCAAGTGATTTGCCCAGGGTAACACAACCAGGATGGGTCAGAGGGGAGCTTGAACCTCTGAGGTCTTCCTGCTTTCTATTCATTTGTAACACTCCCTTTTGTTACTTAACTCTTATGTTTGGCATAAAGATCTTCATAACCTGGTTCTTTCTGACTTTTCCATCTCTTACCTTGAATCTTTTGTACTGATATGGGGCAGGGGGGGCGGTGCCACCAGCAGAAATAGGGAACTTTAGAGAAAGAATAAGTTTGGGGGGGAGATGATGGATTATGTTCTGGACGTGTTGAGCATAGGATTATAGATTTGAGCCAAAGAAGACCTTGGAGGCCATCAAGACCAACCCCCTCATTTTGTGGGCAAGTAAACTAGAGTGGAGAGGGGTCATGACTGCCCACAGTCACTCGGCTGGGAACCCTTCTTCGTCTGACCTGTTTGGCCCTTCGTTGCTTAGTATTAGCAGAGCTAGGAGGGGGCGTGATGATAGCGTATGGACCAGTCCACCACATCTGCCCCCCTCACTCCCTCTCTCCAAGAATAAGGGCTTTCTAGTCAGGATGGGGATTCATTAAAAGTCTGGGGCTGAGGGACTGAATAAGAAGGACAATGAAAATGCTCTGTATGAGCCTCTAGGGGAAAAACTGAGAAAAGAAAAGGTTCTGGTCCCTGTTGTAGAGTGTTTGCTGAGGCTGTAGTTGTTTTTACTATTCACAATGCGTCCTTGTGGTTTGTTCTCCTGTTCTCCCCTAAGGGCTACTGCGCAGCATAGATGATGGCAGTGTGTTGGAGCTCTCCATGGAAGGTGAGGCAGCCCTTTTCCTTTTCCGGTCTGTCTGCATCAAAGCTGTCAAGAAGCAGGATGGAACAAAGGCCCGGCACTAAAGCCTGTGCTTGTAGTCTGCCGAGAGGACGGTCCCTTGGGCCTCTGAGATGGCTCTTTACTGTTATTTCGCACACATTTTCATTCTTATTGACGTCCTTTGTCTTAACATCTCCTTCATTTCCATTGTGTCCCATCTCCCAGCAAGTCAGCCTTCATTTCAATAATAAGAAAAAGAAAGAAAGAAAAGGTTGTTCAGCAAAGCTAACCAATAGAGCCACTGAGTCAGATAGTGTATGCAGTGACTTACACCCATGGCCCACCACCTCCGCAAAGAAGGGAGGGAGATACACTCTCTCATCTCTTCTGCAGGGCCAAGCTGGAACATTACACAGGGCTCCATTTAGGGCTTTTGTAATTGTCATTGTTCTTTCTGTTTACATTTTTTGTGGCCCTTGTATGGATTGTTTTCTTCTGTTTACTTTGCATCAGTCCATGTAAAAGTTTCTTTGTGCTTCTCTGTTTCACCTGCATTTAAGCCAACCTGATTCTGTGTTTTTTGAGCCAATCCTGGAGGCTTGAGTTAGAACGGGCAGACGGGATGCTGGGGGCAAACACTGCGGCTGCATTGAGGAAGGACAGCTGGTAGTCTGAGAGCAAGGAAGAGACCGGCAAAGTATCAGGAGATTTCAGAACATCTGAGAGCATGAATGCCACAGTAGATCATGAGGGTATCACTGCATTATTTTACTGCAGGATAATCAGTGTTCATAATGATGATCCCCTGCCATTGAGAAGCCTCTGGGCCCAGGCAGGAAGAATGGGCTGGTCTGCTCCCCTGCCTGAGTCTTTGGATGGAAGGCAACGAAGCCCATGGAAGAAAACCCTGGATTTAGAATTGGGAGTCCCGGGTTTAAATCCCCCCACTGCTCGTTATTCCTTGTGTTACCAAGTGTAGCCCCTGCACCTCATTCCCTGCCTGCCCCATGGGGTGGGGCCCAGCTTGGACTAACATCTAATTTGGCTCAAAATAGAAAAGTTGGTCCTGTCTCCTACTAGAGGCTGGGGCAGAGCGGAGAGCTCCCTGGATGGTAGGCCCTGTCACCTCGCCCTTCTCAGACCTCGTCTAGGGCTTTCCTCGTTCACTCATGTGCTCTGTTGGATTTCCACTATTTTTCTCCCCAAACATTCTGTCCCCCCAGATTAGAGGATAAGTTCTTTGAGAGAAGCGACCACGTCCCACAATCTACCTTTGTTTCCCCCAGTGAATGCGGCGGGTGTTTGGTTAATTGAATTCTTTCTTCTCAGTCCTTATTCAGCTTATTGTACAACTGAAGCTGGGGCCGTTCGTCCACTGCCTGCTAGGGGAGTGCCAGAAAGAGGTCAGTGATGTGCGTGTTTCTTCCTCACTTCAAGCAGCTGCTGAACATCTGCTTCCAGAGGACAGATTCGCCTCAGCCTTTACCTCCCGCCGTCTGCCTGCTGGCATCCTTCCCTTGCTTTCAGTCTGCCACCTAAGGTGCCACCTCTTACAGAAAGCCTGCCTGGATCTGCTCACCCAGGATCAGTCCCTTACTCACCTTTTGTCCACCTTCTCACACTCCAGTTTGTGCTGTTGTTCTTGGGGTTCCTGAATACCCCAGCCCTGGCATTTGAGCTCTTTCACAGCTTTTCAGGGCTGCTATGCCCAGGACCTGGCACACTGCCCTTCCCTTAGTAGATGCTTAATAAATGCTGGTTGAATTGAATGTGACTATACTGTCACCCCATGGTTTTATTCCATGGTTTGTTCTGTTACCTACATGGGCTCTGGACAGTTGTCTATGTTAGTATTATTTGCATTAGACACTCAGCTGCTGGAAGACAGGCTCTGTGTGTGTGTGTGTGTGTGTGAGAGAGAGAGAGAGAGAGGGAGAGAGAGAGAGATGGAGACAGAGACAGGGAGACAGAGAGAGAGAGCGAGTATTGTCCTTACTCAGTTCAGTTACAAATGTAGTAAATGCTTTTAATAAAATGGTGGGTGGGCTTCTTGGCCTTCCAAGGTGACCCAGGAAGGTCTTTTGTGATCTTCTCATTTTCTAGCTTCCAGCTCACTGGGGCTTGAGATCTGTGCATCTCACCTCGCTGCTGTTTGCTTTCTCAGCAAACTCTGGTGTGGCTGGTATTACCTGTGAGAGGTTCTTCCCACTGCCTGGGCAGGGCATGACCTGGCACTGTGACACGTTTCCTCCTTTGGGATGAGCCTTACTAATGGGATGGTTTATCTTTCTCAATCCTGGTTTCCTTCTCTGTAAAGTGGGGATAAGAGTCCTTGGCTACCCTCTGTCCTTCTCAGGGCTCTTGTGAGGAAAGTGCTTTTTTAGCCTTAAAGTGTTAAAGAAACAAGCACTTTTGCATTTACTTCCTTTGCAGCTTTGTAACATGCCCACCATGAGGGGCAGCCTGGCCACAGTGACCCTCCTGGGCAAAATGGTGGACGCCATCCCTTGTCTTGCTGAGATTCTCGTGGTAGAACATGGTGAGTGCTGCTTATTCAGCTCGTCCCTCTGCTCTCGATGCAGCTTCTCCATCTCCATTCTCTTCTGTTCCCACAGGACTTAGTACACGTCTCTCCTCTGAACCTCAGTTACCTTATCTCTAAAATGAGATCATAAATCTTAAACTTCTCACTTTATAGGAAAACACTTTGCAAACCTTAAAAGGTGTTAGAAATGGGAGCTACTGTTATCATCATTAAATGATGACTTGGTACCTGTTCATATGGTTTTTGGCAAGTGGTTTTATGATTTTTCACATGCCCTTTTTCTGTCTTCTTCGTTAAGTTGCAGACTCCCTGAGGAGAGGGACTGAGACAGTGTGGGTAAAGTGGGAAGAATACAGATCGGACTTGGAGTCAGAAAAACACCGCTTAAAGTCCCCTCCCTGAGCTTCCTGGCTCAGGCAAATCATTAGCAAATCACTGACTTTTAGCCTCATTTTCCTTCTCTCTAGAAACTGGGGGGTTGGACAAGATTCAGGTGCCTCTTCTCACTGAAGCCAGTCTTTCCACATCTAGAACCCAGGTCTTCTGACTCCCCCCGCAGGGTTCTTTCCACCAGCTTTCCTTCTGAGCTTTTAGAATATTGGTAGTTTCCTCATCTGTAAAGTAGGCATAACAACACTCATCCCACCTCCTTAGCAGGGCTGTTGTGAGGCTCGCACTGGGTGAATGTTAGATAATAAATAGGATGATAATGTTTTTTGCACATGTTGGGCTTTGGGGTTCTAAATGGCAATCACTCCTGCCAACATCCGTAGTTCCTTTTGCTGTTTCCCCGGGCAGGTAACCTCATAGAACATCAGTTGAAGGGCCTGATGTACCCCAATGAGGCAGTGAAGGCTGCAGTCTGCTATCTGTATGGGAAGCTGTATTCCTCTCCCACTGTGGCAGAGAAGCTGTCAGGCCATTTCAGGGAGAAGCTGTGTCCCCTCTTCCTTACGACGCTGGACAACGCCCAGACCAAGGAGCTGCAGATTAACTGCATGGGTGAGAGGGGAGGCACAGGAGGCCGGAGGGCTCTTTGCTGTAGGACTTCTGCTGTCAGCTCCATGCAGGACTTTGTAGGGCAAATTCGTGGCTTCCTTTGGAGTGATCCTAGTGGCAGAGGAGATAAGCTCTAAGAGGTCCTTTCGAGGTAGAAAGGCTTCCTTGTAGGCCCAGTGTCTGTTGTTGTGGGCTAGCCTTGCTTAGTCAGGAGAGGCTCACCCCAAGACTGGTCGTCAGCAGCTGCCAAAGAATGACCTCTTAAAGTTGAGGTGACCTCTGTTAGTGGTGGGGACGACTACATTATTGAAATTAGGGGTTTTCTGAAGCCTTGACATGTAAGAGGGGGCGTCCAAAGAAAGCGAAGGAAAGGGTGTGGAGTATCTACCGCCTTTTCCATTGGACTTGCCCTAGACATTAGCTCTGTTGGTGGAACATGGTGGCACCTACTTCTGTGCCTTGAACATAGTAGGCACTTTGTTGAATTGAATTGAGGGGGAGTAGACTGCTTGGGGGTTTATTCCTATACTGGAGGCCCAGGGAGAGCGATTCACCCATTCATTCCTTTGGAAGTTTATGGAATGCGTGCTTCGTGCAAAGGAAGCGCTGTCCCAGTGGGCTAGTGTAGAAAGCCAGACAGAGTTTTCCTGGGTGGGGGGTGCTTCTAGAAGTTTTGATAGCCAGCCTCTCTGTTTGTCCTCTCAAGTTGACGTTTTCTCTTCCTCTTTATTTTCACAGGTTTACTGAGACAGCTACTGAAATATGACCTCTTTGTGTCTGTTATAATGAGTAAATCAGGGGCAATGGGGATTTCTGAAAATGCTGAGGTGCTACAACAAGAAAATGCTCTGCCCTTAGTGCTTAAAAAGGTAATTCCTGTGCAGGGCTCGGGATTTCCTGATCAAAACTGTCTCCTGTTCTCACTGTCACACAGACACTGTGTTTGTTCACTAATTATGTTTTCACTGGCCTACTGGGCTGCTGAGTTCTGTCTGAGCACTGTCTTTTTCCACGCAGAGACATGGGGGAGCTCAGGATGGTGTCACTCAGGTATCTCAGGATCTGTCCAGGCTTGCCATCTCTGGACCCGTATTCTGGAACTGCTAGTGGAGATTGGCATTAAGCACAAATAGGGCATGGTGACCTTTGCCTGGACATAAAACGCCCCTACCCATGTACTTTCAAGTTAAGATTTTCAGCCTGCTTGTACAAAAGGATTCTTATTTATTGCACTAAAATTATCCAGCTTATCTTCTGTGGTGACTTCTTTTTTTGTATTTTATTTTTCCCAATTACATGTCAAGACAATTTTTTAGCATTCATTTCTATAAGATTTTGAGTTCCAAATTTTTCTCCCTTCTTCCCTCCTTCCTCTCTTCCTAAAATGGCAATTTGATATAGGTTGTATATGTGCAATTATGTCAAACATATTTCCATGTTAGTCACAGTTGTGAAAGAAGAAACAGATCAAAAGGGGAAAACACACACAAAGTGAAAAAAGTCTGCTTCTATCAGCATTGAGAGTCCATCAGCTCTTTCTTTGGATGTGGATAGCTTTTTCCATTGTGAGTCTTTTGGAGATGTGTTACATCCTTGCATTGCTGAGAAGAGCCAAGCCTATTAAACTCAGTCATCGCACAGTGTGGCTCTTACTGTGTACAACGTTCTCCTGGTTCTGCTCACTTCACTCAGCATCAGTTCATGTAAGTCCAGGTTTTTCTGAAGTCTGCCGCTCATCATTTCTTACGGAACAACAGTTTTCCATTACCATATACCACAGCTTGTTTAGCCATTCCCCAATTGATGGGCATCCCCTTAATTTCCAATATTTTGCCTCCACGAATTGGGCTGCCATAAGTATTTTTGCACATGTAGGTCCTTTTCTCTTTTTGATGATCTCTTTGGGATACAGCCCGTAGGGGTATTGCTGAGTCAAAGGGTATGAACAGTTTGGTCGCTCTTTGGGAATAATTCCAAATTTCTTTCCAGAATGGTTGGATCAGTTTACAACTCCACCAACAGTGCATTAGTGTCCCAGTTTTCCCAGACCCTCCCAACATTTGTCATTTTCCTTTTCTCTCATATTAGCCAATCTGATAGGTGTGAGGTGGTGCCTCAGAGCTGTTTTAATTTGCATTTCTCTCGTCAATAGTGATTTAGACCTCTTCTTCATGTGCTTATAGATAGCTGTGGCTTATTCATCTGGAACGTTCAGGTACCTCTAGGTTGCTTTCTTCAGCTCCTTTCAGATGAATGCTGCTGCTGGGTGCTTGTACGCCTGGGGCCCTTTGTAGTGCTGCTTCCTTTATTTTTGCTGAGGCACTGGGAGACCCGTTTGATATAGAATGCCGAGGCACCAGAATCTCCTCCTGGTGTGCTCTTTCCACTAGCTGGCTGGGCGACTCCCATTCTGTACTGCTCCCCTTCCCCAGCGTAAGAGGGGCCTTTCCCATTAATCCCTCTAGCTACCTGGGCTACTGCACTGCTGCTCCCTGTCTTTCTTCTGGTTCAACCGTTCCCGGGTTTTTTCTGGGGTGATATTTTCTGGATTTTCAGAGGTTAATAGGGGACGGTGAGAGCGACTGCCTTTTTACTCCACCATCTTGGCTCCCGGAATTGGCTTATTCATCTGAAAACTGCCTGTTCATATCTTTTGACCGTTTATCAACTGAGGAATGGCTTGCATTGTTATAAATTTGACTCAGTTCTCTATATATTTGTTTGGCAAATGAGGCCTTAATCAGAGACACTTGCTGTAAAGATTGTTTCCTAGCTTTCTGCTTTCCTTCTCATCTTGCTTGCCTTGGTTTTGTTTGTGCAAAAGCTTTTTAATTTAATATAACCAAAACGATCTATTTTACATTTCTTAATGCTCTCCGTCTCTTGTTTGGTCATGAATTCTTCCCTTCCCCGTAGATCTGACAGGTGGTCTATTCCTTGGCTTTCTAATTTGCTTATGGTGTCACCCTTTATGTCTAAATCATGTACCCATTTTGACTTTATTTTGGTGTGTGGTGTGAGATGTTGGCCGTGATGACTTCTGACCTTGGTTAGTTAAGAATTCTAGCTTTCACTGGAAAGCTATCTTCTTTCTTTCTCCTCCATTTTGTGTATGGTATAACTGTTTATATCCATTTGGAACTCATCATGGTCTGTGGTGTAAACCTAATTTCTGCCAGACTGACTACCGGTTTCCCCAGCAGTTTTGTTGAACAGCGAATCCTTACCCCAGCATTGCTGGGATTACTGTTTTTTATTCCATCGAGCCACACTTCTGTTTTTCTGACTAGTGCAGAGCAGTCCTGGTGGTTCCTGCCTCATTCACTGTGAACCCCGCCTTGGCTCCAGCCGTCCACACCCCGGGACCTGCCCTCTTGCTTGTGCCCAGCTTCTTTTTCTTCTTCCACCTCATGCTCCCCAGTGACTGCTCCCAGCTCCCATTTTGTTTCTGTCTCTCACTCTCTTATGCCCTGGTTCCTCTTGCTCTCTCCATCTCTGCTTCAAGGCCCTGTCACAAACTACCCAGGCCTAGACCACCGTGCTGAGCCACAATCACTGCCCCTATGATGCCTGGATGCCCTTTTCCAGCCCTGGGGTTGAATACTTTGGTGCAGCTGTTCGAATGCTGCATATTCCTCCTACCCTTATCAGACTTTCCTGGGGGCTGTCACCCCCAAGAGCCACTCACAGGCCCTGAAGGCCTGGGTTTTCACTTGGTGGAGTTCTGAGAGGCACTGCTGGGTTACTCTTATACAGGGCACTGTAAACAAAGGCCTTTGGCATCCTCTGATGAGATGGAGGCCTGGCAGCTGAGTCCTGTGCCTGCCCTGCCCGAAGAACTCGAGGCTGCCCCCAGGCCCAGCAGCAAACAAGTGTGTGCTTGCTGGTAGAGCTGCAAGTGGGCATGGTCAAACAGGGCTGTGCCCAAGGGCATCAGCCCCCTGGAGGTTGCTTTCACCCTTCCTTCCTGACTCTGGGGGCACCGGAGTCCCTGCATTTCAGCAGCACCCATCCCTGAACTTGTGTGGCTCTTGCCCTCTGGTGATCTTGACTTTCTCAAATCGCCACCATCGCGGACCACCTGTCTTCTTCCCCCAGCCCACACCAGTGTACAGCACATATCTGCAAGATTGTCTGCACAGCAGCCACCTTCTCTCCCAAACCCTGGTAAAAGAATGCCGTCTTACACACACCTCCGTGTGTGAGGCACGTGCTGCCCCCGGGCACGAGACCATTGAACCTGACAGTCTGCCCTCGGACGCCTGGCGCTGTGATGGGCAGAGGATGAAGGGGTAGAGATGCCCAAATAAACAACTTAACGGGGAATGCAAACACCCGCAGGAGAAGTCAGAGGCCTGCAGGATGGCAAGGGAGAGGATCTCCTCTGAAGAAAGGGATTTGGATTGGCTTCGTGGAGGAGGCCAGAGAAAATGTGGACAGGGAGAGATGGGGACAGTGGCTTGCAGAGCAAATGAATGCATGGGGGTGGGAGGGAAGGACCGGGGGAGGGAATGGCATGTAGGGCCAGTGCGGCTGCAACGTTGGGTGCATTGGGGGGGGGCACCAGAATTAGCCTGGAAAGCTGTGGGGGCTGGATTGGGCAGTGGGTGGGGTTACTTTATCCTGCTGGTGACTGGAAGCAGCTGAGGGCTGGCAGAGCGAGGCGTGTCTGTAGACAGCTAGAAGCGGCCTCCATGATTAAGAAGACAGGCATGACTGAAAAATGTGGTGCGGTATGGATGTGTTCATTGTATCGACGTCAGGGAATCGTCATGTGACTAAGAGTGAAAGTAGAAAGATCTGGAAAGAACTTTATGAGATGATGCCGAGCCGAACAGCAGAGTAGAGGAAGGGCCGGAGCCCAGCTGGACGCCGGAGAAGAGGGGAGTCAGTGGGACGGAAGGATGGACGAGGATCCTGGAGGAGCTGGGGAGGGACAGAAAGCCTGTTGGGGTGTTTTATGCCTTGAAATTAATGTAAGTTAAATCGTTCCAAGGCATTGTAGTTAGTGGTGCCGCTGTCCGTCGCTCAATTTATAGCATATTTTTAAAAAGAGCTGTTGAGGGCTGGTTTCTACTCCAGGGCATGACGTGATCAGGCAAATGCCTTCAGGTCATTATTTTGGCAGTTGGGTGAAGTTTGATTTGGTGAAAGATGAGGGGGCTTCAGGGGCAGCTAGGTGGGACAGTAGATAGAGTGCCAGGCCCAGAGTCAGGAAGATCTGAGTTCAAATCCAGCCTCGGACACTTACTAGCTGTGTGACCCTAGGCAAGTCACTTCACCCCGTTTGCCTCAGTTTCCTCCTCTGTAAAATGAGCCGGAGAAGGCAATGGCAAACCACTCCAGTATCTATGCCAAGAAAACCCCAAATGGGGTCAGGGAGAGTCAGACCCGACTGAAAAGACTCAACCAGAGGAGGCTGGAGCTTCCAGTTTGGCCCAGGTGAGAGGTGAGGAGGACGTGGACTGAGGTGGCCCCAAGACCCTGGACCGGATTACAGAGAGACTTTCTCTAAATGGATCTGTGTGTGCTTTCGTTGTGTTTGTCATAAACTTACAGAAACAAATCCTTCAAATTCTTAGTATTTAAAAAGATGGAAACAGATGAGTTGACAGTGGACAAGCCCGTTCCAGGTCTGTCAGAAATTCTGCCGCCCCTGAAAGGCATTTCCTGAGGGGGAAGTCTTTGTTTACCACCTTAGTGATTCCACTTCTGCTCCCCGTCCCCCCTTCCCACGTCGTTCCACAAAATCACTGTGCCAGCGCGTGGGCCTCTGGCTGCCAAGCACTGCCCGATTCTGATGTCAGAACCCTCCCTCATCTGGCAGGGCATTCTAGGTGCTGCGGCCACCTAAGTCACAGCGAAAGGTCAAAGTGTCTTTCGGGGCTGGGGTGGAAATGACCTGACTTCCAGCCTCCTGAGGCCCAGGGCCACGAGGGCAGGAGAGCCTTTCCCTTCCAGCCTCCACCTGTTTGTGCCGCCGAGGCATGGGCCGACATGCCCAGCTTCCTCTCTGAAGGTTCTGCTGATGTCCCTCTGATCTCCCACGAGATACTGTCAGCAACATTAATTGTTTCTCTGGTGGCCCATGGTAGCAAGTTCGGTGGGTGGTGAAATCATCCCTCTCCTGCCATTTAATGTGGGTCGCTCTTCTTAGAGGCTTCTTTCCATAAGGAACGGCCATGTCCTTCTAACCAGGGACTGGCGGTGACGCTGAATTGTGTGCTCTCTGCCTTTCTGTCCAGCTGCTGCTGTCCAGAGATGAAACCTTGCGGGTGGCCAGCGCCGAGTGCATGGCGGCCGTGCTGGTGCATTCGCCTGTGAAGTACGCCCCGGCCTTCATCCACGCAGACATTCCAGGTAGGGGGCTAGTTGCCTTCTTTGCGTAGTATCCCTGGGCCCTGGCAGTGGACAGGAAGGTGAGGTGGTGGCTGGCCTCTAGAGGACGGCCTCGTTAGTGCCGTCCTGTGTGACTGGTGCGCCGGGGGCTCTCCCAGAGGAAGCCCCCTGGGGAGAGCCCAGAAGCATCCTGCTTTGTGTTCCTGCTCCTTCACTGGCTTGTGTCATCTCCTCGTCCAAAAGACTCAATTTCCCTGGTTTTAATGTGACTTAGAGCTAGAAGAGACCCTGGACATTGTCTGGTCCAACCACCTTTATTTGATAGATAAGTAAACTGAGGCCCAGAAAGGGATGGGACTTTGTTGAGATCACGCAGTAGATTAGAGGATTTTCAGGCAGCAGGGGTCAAACCCCTTGGATTGCCCCGAAGGAAAATGTAAAGCAGGAGGTGCCCTTATGGGTTATCTAGAGAAGCAGCATGTGGCTAGTGGGAAAGCAGAATGATGCTGAGGGGTAGGGATCAGGCCAGTTCTGTTTGGCCCTGGGTGGGGAGAGGGGCAGTGAGGGGCAGGGAGGGCGGGGAGGGCCCTCTCCCTGACGAGCGCTCGTGGGGCAGGGCTGTTCTGGGCACGGCTCGGACGCAGGGGCCTGTGGGGTCCCTGCCCTCCCGATGTCGGTCAGCGAAGGGCTGTCCGCCCCCCGTAACGTGGCCCCCTGCCCTCCACAGAGTTCCTGTTTGAGCATCTCTCCTGCACCAGCGAGGCCCTCCTCTGGGCCGCCTACAGATGCCTGTTGCTCCTGACCCAAGAGCACCGCTTCTTCTCCAAGTGTCATACCGTGTACGGTGCGTGTCCGGGGACCCGCCTCTCCTGTCTGTTCTCCCTGTAGCTTCTCTCTCACGTAACCCTTCCGGCCTTGCTGCTCTGGTCCAGGTCCTTGGTGTCTGGTACCTGGGCGGCTGAAACGGCCCAAGGGTGAAGAGCATGAGGCCTTGGGCCAGGAGCAGGAAGACCAGAGCTCAGATCCGGCTTTGTGACCTTGGGCAAGTCACGTCACCTCTGTCTGCCTCAGTTTCCTCCTCTGTCAAATGGGGATCATAGTAGCACCTCCCTGCCAGGGTTGGTGTGAGGATCAAATCAGATAATGTATGTACAGCCTTTCACAAACTTCAGAATGCTGTCCATATTAACTGGTCTCCCTGCCTCCAGGCCCTTCTCTGTTCCTCACCCTCAGTACCCCCTCTGTGGGAGGGAACCCCACCAGTGGTGTTGCTGTGGTTCTATACCCTCCAGACCAGATGGGCAGTTTAGGAAGAGCCCCCAGTCGGCCCCAGGGGCAGAAGTAGTATGACAGTGGCCATGGGGCCACTTCCTGGTCAAGCCAGCAAACATTAAGCACCGGCTGTGTGCCAGGCATTGTGCTAAGCTCTGGGGATACAAAAGGGGGCAAAGAACCGTCCCTGCCTCCATGGAGCTCCAAATCTACAGGGACAGACAGCACGCCGTGTCGTCGTGTAAAGGATGTACATAATGGACAAATGGAGGGGAAGGGCAAGGCTCTAGCATGGGGGAGGGGGGCTCAGAAAAGGCTTCTTGTGAAAGGCAGGGCTTTATTTGGGACTTGCCAGAGTAGAGACGAGGAGGCTTGGGGGATGCGGGGGACACGGGGGACTCCAGAGCCAAGAGATGGGACAATGATGAAGCCAGAGCGTGGGAGGGTGGGTGTGGAAGGCAGGAAGGCCCTGAACACCATCCAGAGGATTTTATATTGCTCTTGGGGGTGGGGTGGGGGGTGGGTGTGTATGAGTGTGAGTGGGCGTGAGTGTGTGGGACTGAGTTTAGGGGGGTGGGTGAATGGGAGTGAGTGGGGGTGAGTTTGTGTGTGGAGGGGGGTGTGGGGGAAGAGAGAGGATCCCCTCCATTCGCTTTCTTCTCCATCACCACCATCCCTGCCCTGCCTGGCGGCTGCAGGTGTTTGCCCTGTGGGGGGCCGGTGTCCCTGGGGTCTCTCACTTTCCCATGACCCCCCAGCTTGTCTGGAGTGTCTGCCTTGAGGCTCAGGTTGTGAAGCTTGTCCCAGGCCCCCGGCGCTGTCCCCTGGGAGGTGGGTGCCTCTTGTATCCCTCACACCCTCAGAGACAAAGCTCTGTGAAGCTGCCAGTTGTTGGCAAGAGTCCCTGGAGAGGGTGCTTCCTCTCTGGGCCTCGGTTTCCTCATCTGTAAAAGGGGTTGGACGACCTCCATGAGTCCTTCCTGCTCTGGATCTTGACGCTTCAGTTCAGAGCTGGCAGGGTGCTGAGGGGAGCCCCTGTGGCCTGGCCCCCCTCGTTTATAGGTGAGGCACCTGAGGCCCAGAAGGGCTGTTCCCAAGTCGGCCAGGCCACGCACAGAGAAGTGCCCACGTGGTGTTTGGGTCCCCACATGTCGCGGCTTCACAAAGGCTTTGGGATCGTAGGCCTCGAGCTGGAAGGGACCTCCAGGGGCTGTCCTGTCTGATCTCCTCATTTACAGGGGAAGAAAGTGGGGCCCAGAGCAGTTGTGGTCACACATGGGGTGAGATTTGAACCCAGGCCCCCTGACTCCAGAGCCAATCCTGCTTCCGCCATGCTGGGTGGCCGCTTGGGCCCTGGGCCTCGCGCATGGCGCTTCCTCAGTGTCGGTTGAATTGACTTGGTTGCCCAGGTGTGCCGCCTTGCTCACGACTCTCTCTTTTTGGAGGGTGGTGGAGGGAAGCCTGCCTGGGGCAGGGGGCAGCTGGGACCGGGCCACCCCCTCTGGACCTTGTCCATCCCAATGCAGGCATCGAGGCGCTGGTGCGAAGCCTGAAGGGAATCCTGCAGCTGAGGAGCCCCGAGCTCCTCAAGCAGGGTCTGCTGCTCTTCAGGGAGATTCTGAGGAGGTGAGGGCAGAGGGCAGGGGGCAGAGGGCAGGGGGCAGGGGGCAGAGCGAAGATCGGGAGATGGCTTCAGATAAGCCGCTGGATCCTTTGCCGCTTCCCAGGCAGCCGGAAGAGATCCAGCTTTTTACAAACTCGGCCACCTGCAGAGACGCCAGCGGGCTTCTCCGGGAGGCCGTCAGCAGCCCTGTCCTGGAGGTTGTGGCAGAGGCGGTCAGGGCTGTGGCAGCTTTTCTCAGGTAAGAGGCTGAGACCGAGGAGCTTCCTCTGCAGTGCATGTGTCCGGGGTCGCTGGTCAGCTTTGGTTTCTCCCCCAGCCACTTGGGTTGGCCCTTGAACTCCTTTGCTGACCTCTGGACTAGGGCAGTTAGAGGGAGGCAGAGTTTGTCTCAGGCTAAAACTTGTGAACCTGGGCAGTCTTGCAAGGTCATAACTCATTCAAGAGCACTCAAAGCTAGCAGCCCTGTTAGGGGGTGAGCTCCCTGTCAGGTGACGTGTTCAAGCAAAGGCTGGATGCTCAGCCCATTGCCTGGAGTCCTATGGCGAGGATTCAACTTCACTTGTATTTGAACAATCAGGTCCCTCCCAATCCGTGAAATTCCTAGTTACTTTGATGGCTCAAGTGAGACAGTAGTGCTGTGGAAATGGTGAGGATGGACCTGATGCTTCCTCGATGTGGGAATTCCCTTCATCGGGGCAGATCGCACCCCCTCTGCCCCTCGTCCCTACGAGAGCCGCCCAGTCTAGCTGACGCTGTCCTCTTGTCTTTCAGTGGTCCTGGGGTGTCACTGTCCCGGGTCGGCCATCTGGGGTCCTGCTCACCACAGGGTGAGAAGGTCCTACATCTGTTTCAGGGGGTCAGTGCTTCCCCCACGGGTGAGTGAGGGTTCAGGCCTGCATGCCGTGGGGGTGACAGGACCCACCCGCCTCTCCCCAAACAGAACAGCTTTGTGTTTAAGCTGAAGTGCATGCTGCACTTTCTTAAAGGAGAGCTTGTGCTGACATAAGTGAGTATTATGCTCAATTTGAGTCAAATTGTAGTTTCTTTAGTTAGATGAACAAAAATAATGCCCTTTGAGCTGATTATTCAGTAAACATTTGGCTTTTAAAAACAGGGCCCAGCACACCCTGTTGAAATGTGCTGCCTGCCTGTGTTGGGGGATTTGGTGGTCCTCTGCTGGTGTGGGGGTGCACAGGACAGCGTGGAAGATGGGGGAGCCTTAGGCCTGGCAGAGAGGAAGAAAGTGAGAGTGAGGATTCTCCCCTGTTATCCCTAGAACTTGGCACAGTGCCTGGCACACAGTAAGCACTTAATACATGCTTGGGGCTTGGTTGATGAGTGGATCAGACCCAGCAGTCCTAAGAACATAGAATGTGAGAGCTGGAAGGGTCCCACCCTCTCATTTCACAGAAGAGAAAACTGAGGCCCAGAGGGGGCAGTCATCCAGGCAGGAAGGGGCAGATCTCACTTTCTCGAAGGCCAAAGTCTATGTCCCAGAGCTTTCCCAAGGCCACATGTCCTCCGAAATAAGGAACTTCCCCTCCCTCCAGCAGCAGGACCCACCTCCGCCTTCTGCAGGACAGGCTTCGTTGGTCCAGGGGTCAGGCTCTGTGCTTGACCTTCTCCATCCTCAGGACAAAAGCCGCCCGCCCACCTGTGAGACCAGCCTCCCTTGGTCTTATGCACATTCAGAGGCCAGAGTACAGCCAGTAGGGCTATGGGCGTCCCTTAGCGGGCATCTAATTCCAATCCAAACCTGAACCTCACCGGGCACATCGCCTACACCTGCTTTCCTCTCGCCCTCCATAGGAAGCACCACCTGAGTTCGCCGCCGGTGCCGTATGGAGAGCTTCAGGCCTTGGTCCGAGCCCTCCTGGACCGCTGTGCTGACCTGTCACCACCCGTGAGCCAGGGGCCTCTCCCTAGCAGTGGCCTGCTTCTCCCAGGGGTAATAGTGGCAGAGATGGTCAGAGAGCTCTCAGGCAATGACTGCTGCTCCCTGACGGGCATGGGCAAGGCACAAGGAGATGCAAGGTTACATAGAACCACCCTTGCCTTCAGGGAATTCTACTTTGGTGGAGGCTAGAGCACACACAACAGTAGGAATGTTTGAGTGTTTATAGAGGTTTATAGAAGATTTAGACTGGAGGAGTCCAACCTTCTCTGCCACCCACTCCAATTACAGTGGAGGAAACAGATTAACCCGGTCCCCTCGGGGCTCCAGCTCCTCTTCTATTGTCCGGTGCCCAACCCCCACTGTGACCCTGTGTACCTTGTCCCCCTAGGTGGACTACCGGTGCTGGGAGGGCAGCGGCCTGATCTGGTCCTGTCACATCCTCCCCCTCCAAGAGCTCCTCTGTCAGCAGAAGAGCAGCCATTATAACCTGGCTAGTTTCACAAGATCGCCTCCTTGCGTACTCACAGCAATCCTGGGAGCGAGGGCCTACTATTATCCCCATTTTACAGAAGAGGAAACTGAAGAAAAGTTTTGAGTCACCTGCCCAGGGTCCCAGAGCTAGGGAGTGCCTGAGGTCAGATTGGCCCCCAGGCCTTCCTGACTCGAGGCTCAGTGCTTGGGAGAGAAGGGCACTCTCCCAGGGGAGGAAGGCTGTCCCACTTGGTCATTTCCCATCTCCCTGCATCTCCCAAGCACCCATTGTGACCTAAAGTGAGGGCCCTGAGTATGGCATCCCGGAACTTTGAGCCAGAAGGGCCTGGGAGCCACTGAGCCCAATCCCTCCCTTCACAGATGAGCAGAGTGAGGCCCAGAGAGGCTACACAGGAAATAAGCAGCGAGTCAGGATTGGAACCCAGGACCTCTGACTCCCAGTCCAGCCTTCCTTCTCTCTTACCAGGCCCCTCCCTCTAAGTCTCATACGAGCACGTCTCATTCTTCCAGGGCCGCTCATCAAGCCGAGGTCCCGGCCGAGCTGTTCTGCAGCAGGGAGAGATCCTTTGGGGTGCTCTGGAGGGCTTCCGAAATGCCTGCAGGTGAGGGGCCTCGTGTTGTGTGTGACAAATAGCTCTGCTAGGTGACATTTCTGTGTCTCAAAGCTCATTCCTCCCAACTTTGGGAGGGAGGCAGGTGTGCAGCGCATTTTTGTCCCCATTTGACAGAGGAAGAAACTGAGGCAGTGCATGCGCTCCCAAGTGGGGTCACCTCCCTGGGGCTGGTTTCCTTGGGGTTGGATGACTCTTCTCTCTTGTTGAGATCCTCTGATGCCTGCCATGATGTGGAGGAGCCCAGGGGTTCTTACAGGCTCTCCCTGAGAAGCCCAGCTGGGGAAAGGGCTTTGAGGACAGCTGATGCCTGATACCCAGGGGCTTAAGGAGGTTGGTCAGCTGGTAATGTTTATAGCCATAGCAATTCGTGAAGCTGTCTGAGGAAGTAAGACCTGGAGGGGATGTAATCAGCCTCCCTGGAGGGTCCACTCATCTTTGGAAGGGTGGAATGAGCCACTGTGGTTTGTGCTCTAAGGCCCAGGGCCGGGCTTTGCCGCTTTCTGTTTCCCAGACTGGCGGTGGAGTTTCGGAACGAGCCCTCGGCCCGGGAGAACCCCTTCACGGCTCCCAGCACCGAGAAGGAAGACACACTGGAGACGTTCTCCGAGTTCCTGCTGAGTGCCTGTGACTCCCTCTGCATTCCCACTGTAATGGTAGGGTGGCTGGGGGATGGCAAGGTGGGGGTGAGCTGGGCCGGGGACTGAGGTAGAGGAGGGCTGAGAGAGCACGGGGCAGTGGTCTGGTCACCAGGCCCAGCAGGCAGGTGAGCAGCAGCTGTGCCACAGACATGGCACTGCTGCTGGGCCAGGGCCTTCGTGGCTCCCTGGCTTGAGGCCCGACATTCTCCTGTAGGGTCTTGGGTGAGGGGCATTAGGGCCATCTTCCCATTTCCTCTAATGATTTCCAGGTTGAATTATGTTTCCGTTGTGTCTTCTGGTTTGTATCTGGGATTTATTGGTGTGAGGAACTCCTGGTGTGAGAATTCCTTCCACTGGAGCATGCACCTCCCAGTTTCTAACCTTGGGTGGGGGCCCTGCCCCAGGTGGCACAGCCAGCAGGAGGCTGAGGCGGTCTAGGAGCCAGGTGTTCCTGCCCCCGGGCCAGGTCTCCATCCATTAGGCCACACAACCTCTCTCTGATTTAAGATTTAAGGCACTGGGGATGTCCTGGGAACAGAGAGGGGAGGATGAGGACGATGGGGTGGTGTCTCTTAAGCGGAGGGCTCCGTGGGTGAGTAACAGAAGGTGCTCAGTGGGCTGCCTCTTTGGCGCAGGAGGTCAAGAGCCTGAACGATGTTCTCAATATATCTAGCCCCCCGGGTGAAAGTAGCTCTCTAGGCAGGTCAGGAAGATAAGAGGAAGCTTGGAAAGCAGACAGGAAGGAAGATGCAGGAGCGCCCAGCCGAAGCCCCAGAACTACTTTTAAATTCTTCTTGGCCAAAAGGCCCCCCCTTGCTGGTCCCCATATCCAGTCCCGGGGAGGGGGGGCAGCGTCAGCCCAAACGGCTCCAGGTCTTCCTGGACTACATTGGTCCCCACTGGCCGGAGAGGGGAGGGAGGGAGCATGGCGGGGAGGAGAAGGGGGGGTAACTCCTGCCCCCCCTCCCCCCCGCCCCGTTCCAGCAGAGTCTTGGCCCACAACGAATCTCACACAGTGACCGTGAGCGACATCTGAGTCAAGTCTGTCTGGAAGCACCGGCCCTGGGGGAAAATCCAAACTTAATCTAATTTTGGTGGATACTTATTTGTTTGGTGAAGGGTCCCTTCTTTAATAAAAGAATTCACCCCAGGGCTCTTCTGGGTCTGGGCTTCCCCTGTTCTTCTGATCTGGGGCTTATTGTTTTTGCTTCATTGACACAACTTTTAAGAAATAGAGCTGTTGCATCAAGGAGGCCCGTGCTGCCGTGGGGCTCTGCTGGCAGGGGGATACGGTGTTTGGGCTGACTTTGGGCACAGGCAGAGTCTGGGGGTGGGGGGGAGAAGCTCACACTCGGTTAGTTCAGTGAGCTGGGCTGGTTGGCAGCAGTCAGGGCTGAGTGCCCCTGGCACTCTCTGTGGAACCAGTCTAGGAGGAGGATTACTCCAGTGCTGGTGTCTTTCTCCTTCCCCCTGGGGTTCCAGGGTCCCCCAAAGCTCAGCCGTAGAACCTGGGTCTCAGGGTGGCTCTGGCCAGGAATGATGTGTTTGCTGACTCTGTGCTGCTGTGCCAGCCTTTGGGCATTGATGGCTCTCTCCCTCCTCTCTCCTCTCTCCCCCTGCTTACAGAGGCATTCTGAACAGGCCATGCATCCTGCTCTGATGGAGATTTTCCTCTCAGTCCTCAACAGTTTGTTCATCATTGTACCCCACATGAAGGAGAAGTTCTCCAAGAAGCTTGGTAGGGAGCCCTGGGGCCCCGGGCCAGCTTGGGGGCTGTCCTCTGCCTGGCTCAGGACAAGCTCAGCTCAAAGGGCTCTTCCTTTAGGAAACTTCCCTGACAGGATGGAAAGGAGATTGGCCATGGCTCTCCTCTGGTAGTTCCTTGCCACAGTTTACAGGCTCACACTTGTAGAGCTGGCCGGGACCCTTGACCTACCTCATTTGGAGATGAGGAAGCCGAGTTGCAAGCCATCTTCCTCCCCGGAGTACAGAATGGAGAGAGCCTGGCAAAGCTGCCGTAGCTGGGAGCTTGTCAGGGGTTTTAGTCGGTACTGACTCAGTGATTTGGGTCTGGGTCACCAAACTAAGACTGTGACTTTCACTGGAACCAGGGCAGCGTGTAGGACTGTGGAAAATGCCCCTTCCTCAAGAGAATTCAGAGACAGAAGCAGAAGAGAGGATTTCCCTGCTGTCCACTGCAATCTGGAGCAAATGAGCAGCTCCTGCTTACCTCTAATAAGGACCCAGGCTCTAGTGCACCAAGAGGGACAGGAATCCGTAAGGGGCAGGTGTACTTTGCCTCATCTACCAGGATGTGGTTGAAGGGATATTGGAGGAGGTTTTGAAAACCCACCACTTTGAGAGCCTATCATTGAAACAGAATTCATTCCCTCTGCTCCTCCAGCCTCGTCCTCCTTCATCAGACTGAGCCTGGAGCTGAAGGCCCGCTTCTGCTGTGGACAGAGGTAGGCGCCGCCCCAGGGCTTCCAGAAGCCTGGGGCAGGGAGGAGAGGGAGCATTTCCTGCTCTAGTCTGATGGCCAACCAGAGGGGTAGGGATTTCCCATTGATGGGGGTGGTTGGCATACTAGCTCTGGTGTTAGATGCATCAGGTTGAGGTGGTTGGGGCTGAGCTGATTTAGGTGGAACTCCCAGGGCAGCAGATGGAGGTCTCTGGCCTGAGCCGTGGCCCCCCTCCATCATGCTGACGTTTCCCAGCTGCCAGCCCTTGGATCTTTGTTGGTTCAAAGCATATTTTCATAAGTCAGCAAGCCCTTTACTTCCAAAGGTCCTTGCTACTTAAAGCAGCCTGTGGGTACAGTGCATATCCCTACAATCCCTGCTCCTGTGCAGGATGAGCTGAGGCCCAGGCTGGCGCATCACGTGAGCTCAGGAATTCTGAGCTGTACTGCGCTAAGCCAGGTATCTGTGCTAAGGCGGGCACCAGCCTAGTGAGCCCCAGGGAGTGGCTGGCCAGCAGGCTGCCCAAGGACATGTCATAAGCAGAGCAGGTCAAAGCTCCCATGCTTATCAGCCCTGGAATTGGGTCTATGAGTGGGTGCTGTCTTCCCAGTCTCAAAAAACAAAATAAAAATCAACCAAACAAAAACCAAACCAGCCAGCCTCAAAAATGGATGCGTCCTTCTCCATCCCCTTCTTGCAGGGTTCTGTTCCTCCTGCCTTGTCCCTGGGGCCTGGTCTCAGGAACCCACCAGACCCAGCGATGAGGCAGATAACCCCATGCCCGCCCACACCTGCTGTGCAAGGCAGGGCTGGCCAAAGTAGGAGCTCACGCGTTTGGTTGAGCTGCTGTAGAGCAGTGGGTTCTGCAGCTCCAAGGACGAATGTTTTCTTGCAGCAGGTGGTGGGATGATTGAGGGGGAGACAGAGGTCGCTGCTTCAGCTCCCATCTCATTGAACTCCTAATGGCCCGTCTGCCGGCCTCTGTGAGCTGGCACCCGCCTCTGTACTTACAGAATGGTCTTCAGGATGCCCAGTGTATTCTGGGCCACTTGGAGGCTACGAGTTAGCCTCGTTAGCTGCCCCTGCTTATCTCCAGTAAGGAAACCCGAGCTCTAGTGGACCGCATGGGCATCGGCATCTTAGAGGGAACCCTGCACATGGGCAGGCTCAGACTCTGAGCCTTGAATAGACCAGGTGTCACCTCTTTGAGGTTAAGCCTTTTGTCCTCTGCTTTGCCTCAGCCCCATTCTTGCCCCTAACCAGGGCACAACCTCCCTGACAAAAGCAAACTCTCCTTGGCGGAAGGCGGAGGCTGCGAGGGGTTTAGGGCTCTTGGAGGGGGACGGGAGAGCTTAGCGGGTCCCCAAAGGGTTGTGACGTACACACAAAAGGTGTCCGCCAAACAGAAGACCCCCAGCACCGTGTTAGGGAATAACATCTAAGAGGTTTGGTCCTGGCTGTCATCCAAAGAATGGCAAGAGGCCGGACAGAGGGAGAGCTTTGGAGAGGAGGAGAGCCGACCAAAGCCCTGCTCCATCCTCTTACCGTCTGCAGGACAATGTGCTTTTCTCTGCCTGCGGGATCTCTAAAAGGTGTCCCCTGTGAATGGAGCTGAGGCCTTGTCTGGGGGGCAGCTGAACCAAGGACTCCCAGTCCCTCTCATTCATCCTCTCTCTCTCTCCCTCTCTCCCTCCCTCTCTCTCCCTCTCCCTCTCTCTCTGTCTGTCTCTTCTCCCATTAAGTCACCCAGCTCTGAATCAGGCTTGTTCCAGCTTCCTCTACTCCTTGTGCCTCAACCTCTTTGCAGCTTTGGAGGAGACAGGACCACCATCCAGAGAGGGTAAGATGCACAAGGGCACCCTCGGGCAGTGAACTTCCTTAGAGGTCTGAACACCGGAGGCAGGGAGTCAGCCCAGCATCGGGATTCCCAGAGAGTTCCAGGGCCAACATTTGTCCCCATTGGCTGCCTCATGATCTCGCCTCAACCGTGCCTCTAACCATCTCAGCCCTTTAGTGAGTCTGCCTTAGTCCGTAATAAGGGGAGGAAGCACTCCCCCAAGTCAGTAAAGAAAGTGATGCTCGGACAGGCTCCCCGACTGGCCTGTCTGTCCACCAGCACATCCTCTATTACTGGATTTAAAGCAAGGGGGTACAAAGGCAAACCAGGAACCAGCCCTGGAACACAGTAGGTGCTTAATAAATGGCCGCTAACTAGAGATGGCAGTAGTTACACAGCTGGGTAAAAATAAGGTAATTTGAGGAGAAACAAAACGTTAACAGCTGGGAGTGATCGAGAAAGGCTTCATAGAGGAGGAGGTGGTACCTTGAAGGAGGCTGAGGATTCTGAGAGGCGGTGAAGAGAAGGGAGCAATGACAGGCATGAGGGATGGCTTGTGCCGCTATGGGAGGCTGGAGATGGAATGCTGAGGTGGGGGGTCCGAGCGCAGAGTCCGTTTGAGAGAGAACACAGTGTACGAAGGGCATTGACGTGATAACACGCTAGAAAGGTAGGTGAGTTGGAGCCAGATAGACCTGTGAAAATAATAATAGCCCCATGGCAGGGTATCTGGTGAGTTCTTGTGGTCCTTTCAGACTGTTCCTGGTTGCTTAAATACCTCCAGGTTATGTTGCCATGTTCCCAGACAGCCTGGGTAACTGGCAGTTCCCGATCTGATGGTAGGTTTTCCTCCCACTGAAGTCCACAGCTGAGAATAACATAAAACTGGCCCTAGGCATGGATGTATGGATGAATGAAGTACTTAACTTTGTTCCAAGTATTGGAGGTACAAATAAAAAATCAATGTAGTCCATTCTTTCAAGGCGCTCACCTTCTGCTGAAGAGAGACAGCCCATGCAGAAGGGTGCAGCTGACAAGGTCTGGGTGTCCTTGTTGGCGGCTGAGATGGCAATGCTCTTGGATGGGAAGGGCGCAGCAGCTGCGTGGATGGCAAGGCCCAGTGGTCTACCATCTTCTGGGAACGATTATAGTTGGTGACTCCCTGCTCATCCCTGCCATGTAAGCAAGTAACTGTTGGGAAGGAGGAAGTGGGTCTGAGGGTCAGAGTGGACCCAGCCTCCTTTAGAGATGAGTTTTGAGGCAGCTTTATCTTCCAAGACCTCACCAGAGGTTTCCATCCCTGCACAAAAAAGGCATCATCGTTCATCTGTCATGGCAAGGGTGCAGCTATGAAGGCCTTTTTTTGTGTTTACTGTAAGGAAACCTCTGATTTGGCCACCCATGTGTATACTATGCTTTTCCTTAAGAGTTGTGGGGGGGGGGGCGGGCAGCTAGGTGGTGTAGTGGGTAGAGTACCAGCCTGGGAATCAGGAAGACTTGAGTTCAAATCTGAACTCAGACACATAACACTTACTAGCTGTGTGACCCTGATCAAGTCACTTAACCCCAATTGCCTCATCAAAAAGCAAAAAAAAAAAAAAGAAGAAAGTTGTATGTGGGGGCCCATCCACTTGAGGGAGCCTGGAGTGAGCTGTCTGGAAAAGATCCCATTTCAAGAGAATGTTCCAGAGCCTCCCTTGCTCCTGGCACATCCGGCAGGTCTGTTCCTGGCCTCCCTGGAGCTGGCACAGTCCCCCCGGAGGGGCATGGCGTGCCCACCGAGGGACCTTCCAGCTCTGAAAGTCAGCCTGGCTCTTGTCTGGGCATCCCACCCAGTGAGCAGGGTCACCTTCACAGGTTTGTGTAGCTCCATGACCCACCAGCCTTTCTTCCCTTCCATCGCACCCGTCCCCTTCACATGCTTTATTGCAAGATGCAGTTCTCAGACTCGCGCTATAAAACGTGGCACGATAACAAGGTAGCTGAGTGTTCCTGTGAGATCCGCTCCTGTCTACTAGGAGGAAACATCAGGCCACTGTACGCTAATGGAGAGGAAGCTCTTTATGTGTGTTGTTGTTTAGTTGTTTTTTGGTCGTGGGCCCCGATTGGGGTTTTCTTGGCACAGATCCTGGAGTGCTTTGTCATTTCCTTCCCCAGCTCATTTTATAGGTGAGGAAACCGAGGCAAACAGGGTGAAGTGACTTGCCCAGGGTCACAGAGTTAGTAGATGGCTGAGGCCAGATTTGAACTCGGGAAGATGAGTCCTCCTGCCTGCAGGCCTTGTGCTCTATCCACTGCTCCACCCAGCTGCCCAGAAGAGCCTCTACAACCCCATCAATCCTGTTGGACAATTACCAGGGCACTAGCTGGTCTGAAGGCATCACCCGATCTCACATTGGCCAGACCGTGTCCAGAAGGCTGCCATGCACGTGTCCTCCTCCCTAATTCCAGGAAGGTGCTGCGCCCTTGCTGAGGCCAGCTAGGCATGAGTCCACTCTTGCCAAGCTCCAGCCGAAATGCCTGAGATCCAGGGGAGCAGAGACCCTGGTAACTGGGTAATCGGGGCCAGGACACAGCTTGTCTCCTTTTTTAGAGACGTCCCTGCTTCTGACTGGGAATGCCTAATGAACCCCTAAGTGACAATGAAATCATGTGTACAAAGCGGTGTGCCTGGCATGGGGTCTACGAGACGAATGTGGGCAGGGTCTCCTCTAGCAAGCCATGGCCTTCAGCAGGGTACCCGAGAACGGGCAGGAGCCTCCATCCTTCCTGGGGCCCGCAGGACCGCATCTTTGCCTCCAGGGACTGGACCGGGCTCAGGGCGCATGAGTGCTGCTTGTGTCTAGGCCCTTCTGTCTACCCCTGCACTGGCCACGCCCCTGGGATACCTCCCACCTGGCTTCTACACCAATCCTCCCTGTAGGGGTAACCTCCCATTGCTGCCGTTTTCTGAATGTGGGCGCCACAAGAGCCCCTCATTCCTTGGCCTGACTCTGGGAAGCGGGATTGACCCAAGCCCCAGAATCCATAGGCCTTTGGGTCCTTATCTTTCCCCATCTGGATGGGGACCCCAGCTGCCTCACTTCAACGCTGTCCCCTCCTCGCCACCCGCAGGCCTCTGGCCTAGGGCACCTTGTCACCTTTCACCTGCACTCTAGGGACAGCCTTCTGAGCCGCCAGCTCCAGAAACCTCCAGGGCTCCCCATGTCCCCAGGATGAAATGCCAAGGCCTTAGTGTGGCATTTCATGCCTCCACAGTCTGGCTTTTGCCTCCCTTCCCAGGCTTATTATCCATGGCTCTGGCCGTCCTTGCTCCAGTCAGTCCAGCCCGTTTGCTCTTGAAAGACCAGGGCCGAGATGATAGAAGGCGTGGCGGGGGTGTGTGAGGCAGCCAGCATATGTGAATAGGCCACGCTTGTGGTCCCCACTTGTAGCCAAACTGACAGGGGGAAAGACCTGTGTCTGTGGTGTAACTGGGGCTCTCAAACAAGCCCTAAGGAGATGGGGTTGTTGTTGAACCATCCCCCTGTCCAAAAAACTGTCTGGACTGCGTCTGAGCGGCCTGGCCATCAGAGATCTGCCTTGAGGAAAAGACTGACCCCTCCTGCTGGAGAAGGTTCCACGTGCAGCCACAGCATGCCAGAGGGCTAGGAGAAGAAAAACCCAAGCCCAGCAGCCATCACTCTGGTACCCTGTGGGGGAGGAGGATTAGGTTTTCTGGGCCTCAGTTTCATCATCTGGAAAATGGAGGTAGTGATACCTGTAATGCCTACCTTATGGTGCAAGCAAGTGATTTGTGAGGATCACAAAAGGCAAAGCACCGAAAATCACCACATAAGTGTTTAGAGGTTAGTGATGGTGATTGTTAGTTGGAATTCTGAGAAAAAGAAGCTTCTTGTTTTGCGCTTTACCTCCTTGGCTTCCTGTTCTCTTGCTCATCCCAACGCTGTCACTGGTGGCATCCTTACCCCTTGGCCTGCCTGCCTCTCACCCTAAACCTAACCCTGGCTCTCGCCTTGTGCTCAAGCATCCCCACCCGACCGCTGCCCATGCCTTAGCAGGACTCTCTCCTCTGGCCTCCATTTACTTCCTGCAAGGACCAGCTCTACTCCTGTTTCCTCTGTGATGCTGCTGTCCTGACTACTCACCATCGTATTTCCTGGACTTCCCGACTCTTATTACAGAGCCAGAAGTACTTGGCAGTCATCCAGTCCTGTTCATACCAATTGGGAACCCACTCTGTGCCCTTCCCAACAAGTAATTATTCAACCTTTTCTTGAAGGCCTCCAGGGATGGAGAACTCAGTACCTTTAAGTATCTGCACATTTCTCATAGTAGAGGAGATGTTACACTTTTTCTCTTTGACCCCAGACGGTTGGACTCAGAGTTTCAAATAGGGTGGAGAAGGAGGAGAGTGTTGTCCAAAGAAGCAGGTCTGGGCTTTCTCCAAAGAAAACCTTCTAGATCGAGATTAGCCGCTCTAAAGCCTCATTCCTCAGGAAGCCCATTCCCTTTTAGACATTGCTCTGCCCGTTCTTGGGATGCCCTTGACACCTGTGTGGGCCCTGCCCATAGCTCTGTGTACAGACACTCACCCCCCCCCCCCAGTCAGCAGTCTTTTCAGACACAGCCCTTGTTTACATAAGGTTTTTACATAAGGTTCCCTTCAAGCCCTGATGCAGTGGATGATTGGGCATGCTGGGGAAGTGGAGGTCTGTCTTGCCTCAGACACCTTTCCATTTCTGAGGGAGTATCTAGTGTATTGACGATGCAGAGGTGAAAGGTCAGACTCAGTTGTCCCCTGCTTTTGAATATTATCTCCTTTCCTGAACCTCCAGATCCAGCAGGGACCTCCAAGGTCCTGCATGGGCCTCACTAGAATTCTCATCCACAGCTTACCCCATAATGGTCATCCGGCCTCTGCCTGAAGACCCCTGGGGCAGAAATCCAAGGCTTATCAGCCCTCAGGTCTGGATCTGGAAGAGAATGTCATCTGGTCTAACCCTTTCATTTCACAGATGAGAAAACTGAGGCCCAGGGAAGTTAAAATGACTCATCCCAGGGGTAATAATCTTCAGAAGTAGGGTCTTAGCAGCTTCCAGAGGAAAGTGCGCTGCTTGAATTGTTAAGTTTTTCCTTATATGGAGCTAAAATCTTTCTATAACTTTTAACTGTTGCTGCCAGGCAGAACACGTCTGATGCTTCTTTCCTATGACAGATGGCCTCAAATACTCGAAGAAGTCTCTCTTATCCCCGCCCCCACACACAGAGACATACACACTAATCTGTTCTCCGAGCTAAATAACCCCAGGTTTACCCAGTGCTCTTTTCCCACCCACCCTGTAAGGTATCACCAATATTCTCCCTATTTTATAGGCTCAGGGAGGTCTGGGGATTTACTCGAGGTCGCACAGCTCTTGTCAGAGCCGGGTCTCTGGACTCCAGGGCCCAGAGTGTCCAAACGGTCTTTCTCAAGACCCACATGAGCCTCTGCCTCTATGACTTGGCTTGTTTCTAGGGCTGTCCGTCGTGTCCAGCATCCTACAGCATAGTCTGCTGCAGGTAAACGCCAGAGGCTCCGAAAGTCTGGCACTCCTGTCTGATTCCCTGTATGTGGACGAAGCCGCTCGTCAGCATCAGTATTGCCTCCTCCTCCTCCTCTACCTTGCTTATATCCATGAGGACAGGTGAGCCCAGAGTGAGGTACAGCGTAGGCACCCAGAGGGAGGGCAGGCGGTAGCCACACCAGAGGGCTTTACTGTGGCCTGCCATTTCCTTAACTACTCATCAGGGGAGACTGTGGGCCCAAGGCGTTTACAGGAGGGAGAGAGAGAGAGAGAGGGAGAGAGAGAGAGAGAGAGAGAGAGAGAGAGAGATCCCCTTTCTGGTCAGCAGGGAGCCTCTTGGGAGTCTGGTGACCTGGGGGGCTGAGGAAGGGGTCCTTTGTTACCTGGTCTGTTTTGTTCTGCTTTGTGGGCATCACTGGCCAAAGTCTTGTGCCCTGCCTGAGGTACAAAAGGACTGGGCAATGTCCTTTGGGCACTGACGGTAGCCTCCTTCATAGCAGCTGCTGGGCCCTTCCTTTTCTCATGAGCACACCCGTGTCCACCATGAGGGGCACCTCTGAGCCAGCGGCCACAGGCCATGGCACGATGGCAGGCAGAGCAAGGCCCCGAGGGCTGCCATTCTCACTGGCTCCATTTCCGTTGGCAGGTTCGTGCCAGAGGCAGAGTTGTTCTCAGCTGTGAGAAGCCTCCTCCTGTCAGTCCAGGAGCAGGGCGAGCATCCTCCTCCTGCGGTTTTACGGGCAGCCCTTTACCTCCTCACGATCTGTCAGGACAAAGCGGAGCCTTTAGAGAAGGTATTGACCCTTTTTCTTTGCTTACCCAGCATGTGGAAGGTGCTGATCCAGAGCTCCGAGCTTCTTAGCTTGCTTTTACAGGGCACAGTCCCCCAGAGATGGGAAGAGATCAGTCATTTCCAGGGTTGAAGTGGGCTGCCAATCTCTTCCTGTGGGGGTCTGTCCCCTACCCTTGGGAATAGTAACTGGGGAGAGAGGTCTGGGGCAGGAAGCCAGTATAGGCTCTGCTATGTAGAAATGCCAGCTTATTATTATTGTTGTCGTTGTTATTTCTGCCTCCCATGACAAAGGTCTTGACAGCCACGTCAGCCGCCAGTGGTGCGCTGAGGGCTTCTCCAGGCCTCTCTGCTTTGGCCCCTGGAAGGCTTGACTTTGGGGGAGGCATGTGGCCTGCAGGCGCGATTTGGGGAGCTCTGAGGAGATCTTCTGGCCCCCAGTGGATTGGCCCAACACTCCAAGTCCCACCATTAGCGGATCACAGCCAAAAGAGCCCTCAGAGGCCCCTGAGTCCAGCCCCCTCATGTTCCACCAGGAAAGGTCACACAGGCAGCACCCCAGAGGAGATCTGAACCCAGATGCTCTGATTCCAAACCCAGCAAAAGAACCTAGTCCTTGTCAGAAGGTGTTACATGGGGAAGGGTCAAATTCCATTAGTGGTCAGTCAGGAAGCATTGGTGAAGCACCCACTATGTTCCAGGCACTGTGCTAAGTCCTGGGGATACAAAGAAAGGGGAAAACCAGCTCCTGCCCTCAAGACTGGGAAGTCTAATGGGGGAGACAGCCTGCAAACGCAGTGTATGAGTGAGCCTGAGATGGGAGAAATTGGAAATACACACCAGCAGGAAGGCACGAGAATTAGGGAAGTCAGGGAAGGCTGCTCGTAGAAGGGGGGCTCCCCATAGAAGGGGGCTTTAGCTTGGGGAGGTGAGGAAGGGGGGCATGCCAGGCAGGGGGCACAGCCAGGGAATAGGCCTGGAGGTGTCGCTGAATCACTGAGTATGTGTGGGTGGGTGTGAGGTGTAGGAAGACTGGAAGGCCAGGAAGGGCCACCTTATGAAGGACTCCTTGTGCCAAAGAGAGGGTTTTATGTTTGCTCCGTGTAGAGAAGGCTGACATCCATAGACCTACATATTAGAAAGGTCGTTTTGGGAGCTGAGTGGGGAGAGATTTGAGGCAGCGAGGCCCAGCCGGCATGAGGTGATGAGGGTGGTAGCAGGGTCAGAAGAGAGAAGGGGGGGTCGGAGAAGAGGTGGCATGAAGATGGACAGGCCTTGGCAAAAGCTCGGGGAGTCCGAGATGACCCCGAGGTTGTGAGCCCAAGTGCCTGGGGACATGATGGGGCCTTTCACAGTAACGGGAAAGTCAGGAAGAAGAGAAAGTTTGGGGAAAGATCACGAGTTCCGTGTCAGACGTGTGGAGTGTAAGCCGTCCCTGCACGTCCATTCGGAGATGTCCAGTGGGCAGTTGGAGATGGATGTCATTTCCTCCCATTGGAGTTGGCTTCTGGGATGGCTTCTGACTCTCGAGGGAGTTTTGGAGCATAGGCAGAAGGTGCCTTGCCGGGTGAGCCCGGCTGCCTCCTCAGAGTATCTGTGGCTGACGGCCTTCTCCCCCAGGCTCCCCTGAGTGCCATCAGGAAGATGCTGGAGGGCATCTCAGACCTCCGCCTGGTCTACAGCCACCATCCCTGCACCCTCAAGTTCTTCCTGATGTACCCAGACTTACTGAGCAGGTTTGGCCACCGCGTGCTGGAGCTTTGGCTGTCCTGGGAGGATGGCGGCAGCCCGGAAGGTGAGGACCCGGCCTCTGCCGTGCCTGCCAGGCCTGCTGCTCTTGCCGACCACGAGGACCCCTTGCTGCCCATCCTGAAGAGCGGATCCAGTGTCCTGCTTATTTTACTGGTGGGTCACTAAAAGGAGAAGGGGACCTGCCCCCTTTTATCTTCTTCCTTCCTTGTGAAGGGAGTGCTGGGGCTCAGGCCCCACATTCTGGCTCGGTGGCTTTTCCTGAGCAAGCCCTAGCCAGCAAGAGGGGTGCAATCCATAGAATCCAGGTGTAAGACATGAGGAAACTGAGGCCCAGAGAAGGCAGGGCACTTGCTCAGAGTCCCACAGGGAGGTGGGTCAGGGCCTGGGTTTTAACACGCTTCCTAGCGCTCTAGGGTCCTGGCTCATTTGTCTACACTAACCTGCTTCCTAATGGGGCTGAGCTCTTTTGGTCCTTGTGAGTCACAGCTGAAAGGGCATCCTCTGAAGCAGGCACAGGACTCTGTACCTCACGGGAAGCCTGGCTTTCTGAGGGTGACCCAGGTCAGAGCCTCTCTCGGGCCCCACGCTGATTTTCTTCCTCTTTTGGCCAGTGGTTCCCAGCCAGAAAACCTGAAAATAACTCTCCATTGACAGTGTTCCGGAGGAGGGGAGCAAGGCCCAGATCCTCATTTGAGGAACCTCTAGTGCCAAGGATCCACTTCAGTCTCGAGTCCCTTGTGGTCCCAGTGTGAGGGCTGCCCCAGCAGAGACCCTGCCCTCCCAGTCCCCTTGGCTTGAAGTTTCCTGGGGTGCTTAGGTGAGCCAGGGTCTCTCTGTCTGTCTCTCTCCAGCTGGGCCAACACAGGCCCTGCCCCCCCAGTCCTATGGCTTGGGACACTGAGGTGAGCCAGGGTCTCTCTGTCTTTCTCTCTCCAGCTGGCCCAACACAGGCCCTGCCCCCCGCCCCAGTCCTATGGCCTGGGATGCTGAGGTGAGCCAGGGTCTCTCTGTCTCTGGATCTCTGTCTCTGTCTCTCTCCAGCTGCCTGCTGATCACTGGTTTCTTAGGCTGGACGGGCCAGTCTCTAAAAAGTCCTTCAGACTTTGAGGTTTTCTCTGTGGTGCAGGATGAGGTTTAAAAAAAATCAAACAAGCCCCAAGCCCTCCTCAGTCACTTTTTTCTACTATGGTTAGGAGTTCTTGGCTACTGCCCTCCATGATTCCCCCAAACACCAGCCCTACCCATCACTAAGCACACCCCTTGGGGAGGACTCTTGTAGTTTCCCCTGCTACAAAAATGGGAAGGCAGAGGGAATTCTGGTTTCTGCTCCCAGCACCCCATGCTCCTCCACCTAGACACATGAACTCACATTGCAGGTCAGTTCGTGTAGACATCCCCTGGCCCCAACCCCGTTCTCTCCCATTGACTTCGCTCATGCCACCATGTTGATTCTCTTGTATGAGTAGGAAGGTGATAGAAGCAGAAATTGTCCTAAAATAAAATGCGTGTGTGCATGTGTGCACATGTACATGTGTGCAAGTGTATGTGCAAGTGTGAGTGTGTGCTGGGGGTTGGGGTGAGGAGTGGGGAGCAGAGCTAAGCCTCTGGCAATTTCCCTTTGGAATGACCATGGTCAGCGCACTCTGGATGCCTTGCCTGGACGTGCTCCTGCTGATCAGGCGTCTGATGCCTTCAGTCTCTCTGCATCATCTCCGAAGAATCTCTCAGGGCCTTCCTCTCTTCTCTGTCCTCCCTGCTACTGCCCTTGAATAGACGCCCAGCCTTGCTACCAGATGGACTAGTCCTAGTGCCCAGGCACAGAACTAGACCACTCCAGCCGCCCGCGTCCCCCAGGTAGCCTCTCTTCCTGTCTGGGCTTCCTACGAGGCTTTTGCTTTTTTACTGGACCAGAACTTTCACTGGCAAATGGAGCTCCCAGGAAAGAAAGCCCCTGCACCAGTGTAGATCACTACCTGCCCTGAAACTTGAGGAGCACTGAGAGGCAAAGGGCCTTCTTGCCCAGCCCACCTCCTATCACCCCCTTCCATACTGGACACTCTCCCAGTAAAACTGCCCGAGACCTACATTAGCTCTTTTAGTTGCCATATCACACTGTGGATTCCTACTAAGTACAGTCCACTAAGATCCCAGGTCCTTTTCAGATTAACTGCCATCCAGTTCCATCTTGTACCTATAAAGTTGTAATGTTTTGGCCCTGAGTGTCCACCATTTTGGTTCTGTCCTTTTGAGTCCAAAGGCATTTTCCTTAACAGAGGAGTCCAAGGCAACATAAAAGTTGGGCAGCCCTGTCTTCCCTCTTTTCTGTTCCAGCCACCCCGACCAGCCATCGTGCTCCTTCTTCTGTCCTCTTTTCCCTGATCTGGCCCAAAGACTTTGCTGTCCTTAGCTTTCCTTTCCAGGCCTTGCTCAGTCCAAGTGTGAGAGTTCCTGACACCAGGCTCACTGGCTTGTATAAATCCAGATGATTGGGGAAATG